CTTTGAGGTAAAAACCAGAATTGGGTAAACTTTTACACTGTTAAGAGCATGAGAACTTGACTCTAATTATTGATGGTCATATGGTCATAACGAAATAGACCTGGATGAACTACTGGAAGGTGTACTCCATGATAGAGTGTTTTCTGCCTAATAACGATCCCGTCAATTGAATGCTGAACACAAAAAACATATGGGCCTCTTAACCCAGAAATTCAAAGTTGCAGACTCCTAGTCAGTCTTGTCACTGAGCTATATTCCCAGCCCAGTCTTGAAAACAGAGCTGACCCACCCTCACTTAAATCCTAACATAAATGCAATTGGTGCTACAATGTTTCAAATTTTTAAGAATGGTAAGAATTAGGTTTTAAATTTTGAAAAATGGCTTCTCTAGAAAGATGTACATGGTAAACAGTTTGACTCCTAAAAAGCCTAGAAGACTATACTAGGCACACTGGACAGGCGGGTTTTAGTATAGAAAAGTGTATTTATTGCTTTAAGTGGGTCATAGAAGAAAAGTAAGAACTTGAGCTGAAACTGAATCCGGCATCTTAAATGGCTACATCTTATTTTTATTTATTTTTCTTTAGTTTTTTGAGACAGGTTTTCTCTGTGTACCTTTGGAGCCTGTCCTGGAACTTGCTCCATAGCCCAGGCTGGCCTCGAACTCACAGAGATCCACCTGCCTCTGCCTCCTGAGTGCTGGGATTAAAGGCAACCACCGGCTAAATGGCTACATCTTAACAACTGATTAGCAAGAACTTTACCTTGGGGGTGGGGGAAGGGTAACAATGGAGCCCAGGTGTTGTAGGGGAGGACTTCAGTTCAGATTCCATAACCCACACTAGGCAGATCAAACTGCCTATTAACTCCAGCTTCTAGCCTCCACAGGCACCTGCATATACCTGCACAAAAATACAATTTTCATCTGGCATGGTATTGCATGCCTTTAATCCCAACACCTGGGAGGCAGAGGCCAGCCAGGGCTATGTAACAAAACCTTATCTAGAGAGGGAAAAAAAACTCATAGCTCATTTCTTATTCTAGTAACCAGATTAACAATTTATCAACCAGAGATGAAGATGACATAGTACCCACTGTATTTGCAGTATCTTTGATCAGATTTTTTGTATACTTATAGAATTAGATCTATGATGAATCAAGCATAAACCTGGTATATTAGCTTGAGAACTTAGCATTGAAAGTACTAGTTTATTTGTTCAGTGAATATTAAATGCTCACTGGCAAATACCGTGTCGGAAACTTGGTAAATGGTGATGAAAACAGAACTATCCTTGCACATCCTGGCTCTGACCAGCTTTCTTTGAGATTTAAATGGTTTCTTTTGTCAAAGGTGGAAACTTGTAATTTGTTCAATCAATAATTTATTTTGACAATTGTAAAAATGCCCATCTAGGATATAAAACCTTTACAAATTTATTAATCCCAGTCCATTCTCTACTAAGTAATTCCAAGCCAACTGGCTACTGACTATGCTGTCAATGTGGATTCTGTTTTCAAAGAAAGGAAGTACTGTGTCCTTTGTTCTAAATAGAAACACCATACTGAAAATCTAAGCTGAATGAAGCCAGACTCTCCAAAATAACTTCCCATCAAAGCTTAAGCAGGGCTTGCTTTAGGACACACTATTGCGGGACTGATGAGTACTGACGTTATTTCATTTCCCATAGCACTAGCTGAGGAAGGATTTGGTACAACTGGAGAACTGAACAATGAACTAGGCAAGAATAGGCCTCACAGGTCAGGGTTTCATTTAAAGATACATTAGCTCCCACAACATTGACAGGATTTATTTGTTTATTGGGCTTTGAAAAGTAAGACATGTATACTAAAAGAAAAATTCCTTTAATTTGGCTTGTTGGTCCCATACATCATCTACCGACACTTGGACTACTTAGTAATGTCTTATTACTAATAGTCACACAAAGTACCTCGCCCTGTTTTGGTTGTGTGTATTTTAAGGCAGATGGTAAACTAGGTCTTGAGGGATGCTTTAGTTTCTGAGGGTGATATAAAGAGCTTAGGCTACAGAACATTAGGCTTCACAGGTGATAGAACGTGACCTAAAGTGTTGTGAACTTAGAAGCCAAGGCTCCTCAGGAAATACCATTACAGTTACCTTGTTAACAAAGCGTTCTGGAGTAGTTAAGCAGTCAAGACTGCAATGCTAAGTTACTTTTTTGCTATTTTTCTCCCAAAACTGACACATCCAGCATTGGGAACTATAAATATACAGTCGTCTTCATTCTTTGCATTACCAAGGAGCATGTCTTCCTCCATCATGTTCTGAAGGATGAACAAAGGCTTGAGGTGTGCGTTTTAGAAGATAAACTGCAGCATGAAGGCCCCCGATGTTCACCCAGACTGTATGGACCTTTCGCCACACATGTCCCATTCCAGATAATGCCTGGTACACACAAAAAGCATAAAATCATTACGCTGCCAAGTCTGCTTTTAAACCAACCTGGAATCTTTGCCACTTAAATGCTATGGGTGGTGGGTTGGAGAGTTGGCTCAGAAGTTAAGAGCACTTGCTGTTCTTGCAGAGGATCTGGGTTCAGTTTCTGGCACCTACATGGCAGCTCACAACTATCTACAGCTCCAATTCTAGGGGGTCCATCCAATACCCTCTTCTGTCCTTTGAGGGCACCAGGCATAAATGTGGTACACATACAGGCAGGTGAGTGTGTAAGAGTGTGTGTGTGTGTGTGTGTGTGTGTGTGTGTGTGTGTGTGTGTGTGCATGCACGTGCATGCACGTGCGTGAAGTAAGGAAGGGTATCACTGAACCCAGAAGCTCAATGAATGGCTCTGAGGTCCCACCCAGCCTTGCCTGCTGTGCCCCTATCCTATCACTAGGGTCCAAAGCCTTCTTTTAAGAATCCTAAAGTTGGGGGTTGGGGATTTAGCTCAGTGGTACAGCGCTTGCCTAGCAAGCACAAGGCCCTGGGTTTGGTCCTCAGCCCTGGGGAAAAAAAAAAAAAAAAAGAATCCTAAAGTTGCCTTTGGCTGAGATTTTAACTCTCATGTTCAGTACCTTGGTAAAACATTTCTTGTCCTGAGTAAGCAGTACAGCTCTGCCTGTCCCTGGTCTACAGACACGGCTCATTTCCCGAAGGCAAGCTGGATATAGATTCCAGTTTCTCTTCTTGGAGCCCATCCTATAAAAGAAGGTCAAATAAAAAGTGTTGCAAAAGGTAAATAAGTAGTTTCTTACATGAGATGAGAACAAAATCCAAGGTAGGAAGAAGGCATTTTTAGAGGCCAGAGCTTTGACATTCTATGCCAATAAAGGAAGCTATGTTAGTCACGTGTTCAGAGTTTTCTATCAAAATGGTTTTTTTTTTTGTTGTTGTTGTTGTATTTTGTTTTTTGAAGAAAGGTTTTCTTTGTGTAACAGCTCTGGCTGTCCTGGAACTCACTTTGTAGACCAGGCTGGCCTCAAACTCACAGAAATCCACCTGCCTCTGCCTTCTGAGTGCCAGGACTGCCCGGAATAATTTTTTATAACAGTAACTTATCTTAATGAAGACAACAAACAAATTATATGAGCCAAACCACTGAGTAGAGAAATCTGTCTCAACAAGCAAATGCTCCTCAGCCTATAATGTAGTATAGGATCGTGTAATGGCATAAGGGATGAAATGAATTATGGTACATCTTTCTGACTGAGAAGACAAACAGTACAATAACAGGCGAAATCAAACTCCATTTCAAAAAGAGAAAAACCCAATTCTACCTTTTTCCAAATGGCATATCTGTTACAATAATATCCACAGAAGCAGTTCTCAGTGGGAGGTTGCAGATATCCCACTGAATAGCATCAATGGGCAAACCCCAGGATGTTTTTCTGTAGAGACAAAGGAAAGACACTCAATATATTCTTCCAGGTATGCTAATGAGATGGCATAGCAGACAAAGGCACTTGCCATTAAGCCTGATGACCTGAGCTTGAGTCCTGGGGCCCACCCACATGGTGGGAGGAGAGAACTGAATTCTTCAGTTTGACCTCTAAGCCCCTACTCTTGTGCCCACACACAAACAAGTGTAAAAAGAAAAAACATTCTACAGTATTAATTTTTAAACATTGTTTTTCTAAGAAGAAATGCTACAGTAATATAGGAAGAAATATACCCATAACTGAAATACAAGTTTTTTAAATGGTTATAATTGTTTTTCAAAGGATGTATGGTTTCACACACAATTTTAAAAAGCACCAGAGGAAATGAGTTTACATGTTAAAAAAATGTGAAAAGGCCAGAGAAATGGCCCAGCTAGCAAAGGTGCCCGCCACTAAGCCTGACAAACAGAGTTTGATTCCTGGGACCCAGAGGAAGAAGAGAACCAACTCCCCACAAGCTGTCCTCTGACTTTACACCATAGCAGAGCTCCATGGCACTCTCAGGCCCACAGATATACAAATAAACAGAAAGACCAATCCAAAAGGCTTCAAAGGCAAAGTGATTAGAGGATTTGAACAGGCCAGGGCCACAAGTCAAGATTACTGGTAATTTAGAAGTTATGGGAATGGCTTTCATGCTTCTTTCAATTCACATTGTTTTATTTATTTATTTATTTTTGGTTTTTTGAGACAAGTTTTCTCTATAGTCCTGGCTATCCTGGAACTCAGTCTGTAGACCAAGCTAGCCTCGAAGTCACAGAGTGACTCCCAAGTGCTGGTATTAAAGGTGTGTGTTAACCACACCCTGACTCAACTCACATTATTTTAGAAAAAAAGCTAAATAAGTAAACTGTAGTAGTTCTATGTGATGGAATGCTGTGTAGTCATTAAAAATGAACCATGTAAAAATGCTGAAAGTATTCTCAAATTGGTGACATCAAAATGAATCTACCCATGTACTGCAAATGTAAACAGTTGGATTTGGTAGTTCATGTCTATAATCCCAGTTTAGTAATCGAAGGCAGGAAGATCACTGTGAGTCTGAGGCCAGCTGCACTATACAGTGAGTTCAAGGTAAGAGCCAGTTATAGGATATGACCTTTTCTAAATAAATAAACCTATACTATACTATACTGTTTGGGGAAAAAGACAAATAATGAACAAAAAAGGAGAAAATTGCAACAAAGTATGGAAATTGTAGTTACATTAATTATAAGTGATTTTCAATAAGCTAGATGGTATCTTCTCATGCTGTTCATTTGGTTCTAAAGGTGTCACAAAGCACAGGCAATGAAGGACAATTCCAAGTCAGTATGGAGAGTAACGTGCAAAGACGCAATGCAGTCTTTGAAGTTAAACTTACCCATCTTTAAGCTGGCTCTTAGTCAACAGAGATGAGATGTTATTTGCTGCTCTGTTCACTGCCAGTGGGTTGTTGTCTCCAGCAATATGGTAACAGTGAGACCACTCAGTAGCCCCCTATGAGACAAGAATGTTGGTTAAATATGCCACAAGAGACAATTAAAGGGAGTCATTACAGTCAATTTTCAATAACATGGTGACCCGTGCCATTTATTTCTTTAGCAGAAATGACCTCCCTGTTCTTTTTCTGCCTGCTGAATTCTCACCCACTGGAGATGTGGCTCCAGTGTCACCCACTATGACATCAGTGTCAGCCCCAGAAGCACTTTGTACACCTCTGTTGCTGACTTGTCCCATTTTAACTGTCTATCAATTGTCTTCCAAGTAATCTAGCAAGCTCTATCCTATTTTCCAGATAGGTCTAGTATTTTATTCAATCCATACCCAGCAAAAGCTGGCACGTTCAAGAGACTAATTCACTAAATAAACATGATTTTAAAAAATTATCCAAACTGCCAGGAGGTGGTGGCAAATGCCTTTAATCCCAGCGCTTGGGAAGCAGAGGCAAGAAATCTCAGTGAGTTCAAGGCCAGCCTTGTCTATAGAGCGAGTTCCAGGAGCCAGAACTGTTATATAGAGAAACCTTGTCCCGGAAACCCCCTAACCCCACCCCCCCCAAATATTAACCAAACTAACCAAACCTATACTTTTGGATTGTGAAAGTTTACCTTTTAAAAGATAACCAACATATATCTCTGAAAGGATTTTGTTAAGTAAAAAATGTCACCAGAATATATATGCCAAGCAATAACACACTTGTGAAACGAGTACACTAAGGTACAGTTTCTGCTGTGAAGACATGCATGCATGAATGCAGCACTTTATAACTTTGTATTCTGCTCAGATCTCTGAAGGTGATGACATATTCTAGTCTATTATTCTACAATGACTGCAAACAAAAGGAATGTTCAAGTATGCCAGAAACTGGGTAGGTAGGGATACAGAAGGAACCCACAGGGTGTCTCTCAGGTGATTCTTACCCACTGGAGATGTGGCTCTATTGGGTAAGAATCTTTGCCAACTATTTTTTTTTTTTTTAACTTTTAATCCAATTTGGATTTCCTACCTCAAGCTGCATTTTACATTACTTCTAAATCTCAGAGTATTCTGAGTAGTCCAGGTATTGGATACTTTAGTGGCCACATCTGTTCACAGACCTTGGCGACTTTTCACGATTTCCATCATTCCTCACTCAGCTAAAGTTACTACAATGGTGCTCTCATGCCTATTTTTACATGGAAATGGCTCAGACTGTTTTCCCCCCTCTTCTATTCTGGTGTCTATTTCTGTTGCATGTTTCTGGACACATGGCAACTTTACCTGGTATTTCACAGAAAAGTCATGGTTTAATGCTGGAGAACCACAGCTTTGTTTCCAGAATTCTTGACTGTAACTAAGCTCTCTGGTTCAGATCTCAAGCAGTAGTCATTTCCCAGCCATCACTAGTGGAACATGCAGACTCTGTGGTTTCCTCTTGGATCTTAACTCCTGATCAAAGTCAGACCATAGATTTTCTAATTACACTCTGGATTATTTTACCCTTTATGGGTTGCTTTGGGCTTGCTCATCTGTCCCACTTCTGCCCACTCAACACAATCTGTGGTACTTCTGTGCAGTTTCTTTTTACTGGCTTTTGGTATAGTCTGGAATGTTTCACTGTGTTTCACACAAAACTAAGTTATTTTCCTGTGAGCTCCTGCCTGTCAATCACTTACAGACACATAGGTGATGTGATTCACTCAGTCTCAACAGTTCTCTACCTACAAGATCCCTTTCCCACTGTGTGTGGGGCTCACACCTGTAATCCCAGCACTCGAGAGAGGTTCAGGCAAGAGGACTGCCATGAATTCAAGGATGGCCTGTGCTATGTACCAAGACCCTGCCTCAAAAAGTTAAAAAAAAGCTGGGTGGTGGTGGCGCATGCCTTTAATCCCAGCACTCGGGAGGTAGAGGCAGGCGGATCTCTGTGAGTTCGAGGCCAGCCTGGGCTACCAAGTGAGTTCCAGGAAAGGCACAAAGCTACAAAGAGAAACCCTGTCTCGAAAAACAAAAAAAAAAACAACAACAAAAAAAAAAAGGTTAAAAAATAAAATAAAAAATCTTTTCAGTTGTTTTGCCTTCTGTAGTTTCTGTTTTGTTTTGTTTGGTTGGTTGGTTTTGATTTTTTGAGACAGGGTTTATCTGTGTAGCCCTGACTGTCCTAGAATACACTCTGTAGACCAGGCCTAGCCTCTAACTCAGAGGTCTACCTGCTTCTGCCTCCCAAGTGATAGGATCAAAGGCGTGGGTCACTGCTCAGTGCCTTCTTTAGGTTTTATAAGTGAGGTAGTAATTCTAAAAATTATTTAAGGTCACTGGGTATGTAGCTTTGTCAGATTTCCTAAAACATGTAACTTTTTAAAAAAGAAAACAGGTAAAAAGACTGAGTGTGGTAGTTTGTGCCCTTAATCCTAGAAAAGATGGGCAAATCTCTTGAGTTAGAGGCCAGCCAGGGCTACATAGTGAGACCCTGTCTCAAAACAGAGAAACAAATATAAGGAATGCTCATACGTGGTGGGTTGGTTTCTAGTTTTGTTTTGCAGTGCTGGAGATCAAGTCCAGGACCTCTGGCATGCCAAGCAAGAACCCCACCCCAGCACTGAGCTACACCACTGTGGTTTCTCCTTTTCATAACTAAACTTGTTCACTCCAGGAAGCGCTAACTACAGAGACAAAAACCAACTTCCTCCCATTTATGATACCCTCAGTTACCCTCTGCTAGTCAATCTAGTGGCTGAGCCATCACTTCCAGCTCCCCTGTGAGCCAGAAAACAAGTGTTACTCTTGAGTTGTGTGGCACTGGGCTGTTTGAAATACATGATATTACCACTTGCTTATGTAAAAATAGAGGCGTGATTACCTCTATTGGTATTGCCCCTGTTCCACACATTGGATCCACTATTACATCAGTAGGTTTAGGTTCACAGAGCCTGGAGGGAGAAAACAATTCAGCACATGTGAGATCAGCCGAAAGCTGAGGCTTCCACAATAGAGATTCCAAAAGGCTAGACACAGGCACGGAGGAGCAGCAATCCACAGTCTGAAAGTCAGCCTGGGGCTGGCACTCAGGAGCAGTGCTCACCCATGTGTACAAAGCTTTGGGTTTCAGACTCAATGCTGGAAAAGCAAAAGAAAGAATTGTTATCCCAGCACTCAGGAAGCTAAGCTGGGAAGATTCTTTAGTAGACATTTGCTGACAACTAGACATTCAGTATCCTTTCATTTTGTGTTTAATGTAGAGATAACGCCTTTAACATAAAATGATTGCTTTAACTTTATACAGTTGTTATTTCACTGAATCCTTGTAACAACCCCATTATAATTTAACAGATAAACTGATGCAAAGAAACATTTTTCCTAGAACCCAAAACGAGGTGACAGTCAGGACCACAGGTCATGGTTTACTATCTCCTTTTTGTAGTACCAATCCTCAGGTCACTGTTTTGTCTGTTCTAACCTTTTCATGTTTTGTTTGAGACCTTACACCATGCATGCTAACAATCTCCCTCATAAGACAGATTCTTAGGCAAGCCTATAATGTCAGTCACTGCTAATGAGCCAGGACTGGGCATCTGATCAAAACATGTCATTCAAATCCTCTTAGGAATTTGTAATAAAGAGCAAGTAGCCCCTGGTTGTGTGAACTAGTCATGTGTAACTGGAGGTACATATATTTAAATGCGGACAGCCATGTGCACAGGTGAGCTGAGCGTAAGTTCATAAGCTTTCAAGAGACAGAAAAGCAAGCTCCTGTGTTTTCTACTGCCTAGTTTCTACACTTCTTAATTTTTAACCTTTATGTGTATGGATGTTTTGCCTGCATACATATCTGCATCACAGATGAGAATTGCCTGTTGAAGCCAGAAGAGGCATCACATCCCCAGACTGGAGTTATAAACAATTGTGAGCCACCATTGTTGGTGCTAGGAATTGAACCAAAGAACTCTGGAAGAGCAGCCAGTGCTCCTATGGCGCAATGCCATTTTTTCATCCCCATAGTCTACTTTTCTTGAGATGGCTTTCAAGGTTTTTTTGTGGATTTGATAAAATATTTGCTCATCTCTCCAACCACCCCATCCTTAGCATAATTTTCACTTCATGTATAGATGTGCACATGCGTACACACTTGTGTTTGCCTACATGCATGTGAAGGCTAAAGGTCAATACTGGGAATCTTTTTCTCTCTCTTTTCTGGTTTTAGTTTTTGGAGAGAGAGTCTCTCTACAGAGCCCTAGCTGTCCTGGAACTCACTATGTAGACCAGTGAACTCACTGGGATCCACCTGCCTCGGCCTGCCAAGTGCTGAGATTAAAGGTGTGTACTGTAATGCCTGGCTGGGCATCTTCCTCATTTGTTCTTCACCTCAGTTTGAGAAAGGGTCCCTCTCAACCTGGAGCTCACAAATTCAGTTAGACTGGCTGGCCAGGGGTCCTCCTCTCTCTGCCTCCTTGGTGCTGGAATTAGACGCATGTGCTGCTGGTAGGTCAAACTCAGGCCCTTATCTTGTGCAGAAACTGTACCGAGTTACTTCCTCAGCCCAATCATCACTTTTTTATTCTATTTAGCTTTTTTTTTTTTTTTGGTTTTTTGAGACAGGGTTTCTCTGTGTAGCTTTGCGCCTTTCCTGGAGCTCACTTGGTAGCCCAGGCTGGCCTCGAACTCACAGAGATCTGCCTGGCTCTGCCTCCCAAGTGCTGGGATTATCTATTTAGCTTTTTAATACTTGCAACCAAAACAATTCTTTGTATCACAGTTGTAGACAAATAACAAATGTCTGTTTAATGAATGAAGTTTCAGAGTGTTTCTTTTAAATTTTCTGTTATCAACTTCATATGTTCCAGTTGTGAGGAACTATGAGGCCATGTACGGCCAGGATGAAAGAGGAAGCAAGGACTAGAAAGGAAGAAAATATACTTATATAATTCATTAGGACATGCCAGGCACTGTACAGAATAAGACAATCTATCTGTATTTCTGCATTTAGTTTTCATGAACAAAACTTTTTAATAAAATATATTTATTTTTTACTAATGTGTATGTATTTTTGTGTGTCTCTCTGTGTGCACATGTGTATAGGTACCCATGGAGGCCAGAAGAAGGTATTGGAAAAGGGTATGGAGTTAGAATTAAAGACAGTTGTAAGCTTCCAGATATGGGTGCTGGGAATTGAACTCTGGTCCTCTGGGAGAACAGCAAGAACTAGTAAATGCTGAGCCATCTCTATAACCCCAAAGTCAGCCACCACTCTATTTTTTAAAAACGGATGTGTATGTGTGCATGTGTGGGTGGATGTGTGCATATAAATGCTGATGCCTGCAGAAGACAGAGGCTGGAGCTGGAGTTGCAGGTCATTATTATCTATCTGACAACCTGAGTGCTGGGAACCACATTCAGGTCCTCTTTAGCATGCACTTAAACCTCTGAGCCATCTCTCCAGCATGAATAAATTTTTTCTTCTTTTACTTTTTTTGTTCATATGGAATACTACACAAATCTGTCATCTTTATGCAGGGGTCATACTAATCTTCTCTTTATTGCTTTAATTTTAGCATATGTACTGCCAAACTGAGTACATGAATAATCTTCTGAGTCCCATGTCAAACCCATTTTCCAGTCTTGAAATCTCAAGTTGGGGGAGGGGGAGGCTTTAAGAAAGGAAACACCAATGACAGAAAAATGACAACAGCAAAGGTTGCTTGCCTTGCACTTCTGAAAGTCCCAAGATAATCCCTGGGTTGCTGCCAGTGTAACATTTACACATATGAGTAAGTGGGGTGTGGCAGTGTGTTCTATGAGCCCAGCACTCAGGATACCAAGGCTGGCCTGGGCTGCATTGCAACACCTTCCCTCAATGGACCAGTTTTGTATTCACTTACACATTTTAAGGCTCCCTCTTGTCGGCTTCACTGTATAAAAACAAAGCCCAGCAAATCTGGCTCTATCTCCTAAAAAAGGATATCCTTTCTCAACAGAGACAGCCAATCCACCAAAGACATGCATGAAACTACCACTCTCACTTTCTAATCAACAACACTAATACATCATCTAAGCCGACAACAGCGACACTGAAGAGGAAATAGGCAACTTTGTAATTCCAACCAAGAAATTTTTTTTAGAAAATGAGTGTTTTAAATCAAAATTCAGAGCAAAGTGTCCATTGCAATAAAGATAGAAAATCCCTTCTGTTACCTCAGCATCCCATAGGCAAGTGTTGACCTAAGAGTTGTAGGTCCAAAATGTGTAATATTTCTTCGATGGAGACTCTCCTCCGTCAATGCAATGCCGACAATGACTTCATTATCGTGGATGTTCAGGAGAACCTATGTCAAATTAGATCAAAGAAACAGTTGGCATTCTTTAAGACTTTTTTTTTTTTTTTTTTAACCTACGGCCTTAGCTGAGTGTGGTGCTGCCTCCCAAGTGCTTTAATCCCAGCACTCAGGAGGTAGAGGCAGACAGATCTCTGTGAGTTCAAGGTCAACCTGGTCTACATAATGAGTTCCAGAACAGTCAAGACCAGATAAAGAGACACTGTCTCAAACAAAATGAAACAAAACAATAACAACAACAAAAAAAAATTAAAAGAATAAAGTAAAACATGGTTCTGAGTCAAGATTGGCTTGAATTTCTTTTTTTGTTTGTTTGTTTGGTTGGTTTTTTGAGATAGGGTTTCTCTGTGTAGCTTTTGGAGCCTGTCCTGGAACTCACTTTGTAGACCAGGCTGGCTTCGAACTCAACAGAGATTCACTTGCCTCTGCCTCATGAGTGCTGGGATTAAAGGCGTGTGCCACCACTGCCCGGCCTGGCTTGAATTTTTTATGTAGGCTAGCTGGACTGAAACTCAAAATCCTCCTGCCTCTGACTCATAAATGCTGGGATCATAAGTATGTGATACATGTTTGCCTTATTAAGACTTTTTGAAGTCTTAAGATAAAGCAAAAACAAAACAACTCTCTTACTCAGGGCTAGGGAGAGGACTCAGCAGAGAAGTACTCACAATTATGAAGACCTGAGTTTGGATACTCAGCACCCACAGAAAAGCCAGGCATGGTTTGTACTCACACATCCACCAAGCACAAAAGCTTTCTTTTTAGAAAATTTTTATTTTATGTGTGGATTTTGCCTAAATATGTATCTGTGCACCATATGCACACTTGGTGTCCATGGAGACCACAAAAGGGTGTCAGATCCTTGGAAACTAGTTACAGACCATTGTGAGCGCCTGCCATGTAGGTGCTGGGAATTACACCTGTACCGTCTGGAAGAGCAGCCGGTTCTTTTAATCACTGAGCCATCTCTCCAGCCTCCCAAACTATCTGATTGAGTTATACTTTGCATGCTTACGATAAAGTGCATAAATTAATTTATTTATGTATTTATTTATTTATGTGTATATGTGGACAGCGTGTAGAAATCAGAGGACAACTTCCACCATGTGTCCTAGGAATTGAACTCAGGTCAGCAGCCTTGGTGGCAAGTCTGTCTACACACTGAGCCACTTCATGAGCCCAGAGGTATATAAATCATATATGTATATACATACATATTTCAGTGAGCTTTGACCTATATACAGTACCCTTTAGAAGGTTCCCTTTGTTTCCTTCTTGGTCAACATGCAGGGTGATCATTAATCTGACCACTACTATTATAAATTAGTTGTTCTGAACTTCACAAAAATGAAATATATGTATTTTCGTGTATATATTATTTTCATTGAATTTTAAAATGTTTTATTCTTTTCACTCACTATATATACAAGCTGGCTATCACTAGATTATCTCCCAGATTTTATTATATTAACATACTTTGATGACATGGCTTTAAAATATGAGTGTATGAGTGTGTGTGTGTGTGTGTGTGTGTGTGTGTGTGTGTGTTTTATTGTTTTTTATTTGTTTTGTTTAAGACAGGATTTAGATGGGCAGTGGTGACATACACCTTTAATCACAGCACTCGGGAGGCAGAGGCAGGTAGATAGATCTCTAAGTTCGAGGTCAGCCTGGTTTACAGAGCAAGTTCTAGGATAGCCAGTGTTACAAAGAGAAAGCTGTCTCAAAAAGCCAAAAAAAAAAAAAACAAAAAAACCCCACAAAAACAAATAAACAAAAAACCACAAAAAAACAAAACAAAAAACAAAAAACCAGACAGGGTTTCACTATGCACTCTACATTCTGGCTGGCCTAGAACTTACTACAGAGACCAGGGCTAGCTTTCAAATATGAGATCTGCCCATCTCTGCTTCCTGAGTCAAAGGCAAGTCCCACCCCACTTGGACTACATGTATTTTTTAAATGACTACATTTTGGGAAACTACTTCAAACAGCTGTAAGTGCAACAAGCCCCCTTCCACAGCGGACTCTCAAACGTACCTTCTCTCCAAAGCTGACCCTGTGTCACGTGTGCTTCATCAACTATTGTTTTCTTAGTATTTTTATATAATGTCTACTATGACTATCTTTGTTCTGGTGCTCCTAATTCAAAAATATTCTTGTTTCGTTTTGTTTTTCGAGACAGGGTTTCTCTGTGTAGCTTTGGAGCCTGTCCTGGAACTCACTCTGTAGCCCAGGCTGGCCTCGAACTCAGAGAGATCCTGGCTCTGCCTCCCGAATGCTGGGATTAAAGGCGTGCGCTACCCGCCCAGCTTAAAAGTATTCTATAAAGATAAAATGTTCCTCAATCTTCCCCTTAAAATGTCCTCATCAGTTTTACCAAAGACAGCAGTCAAGAGCTGACACTCCAACATGCGAGGCCCTGCTCTACACATCTTACTCGCATGGCCTCATTTCCAATAAGCCCCTCTGAGCCTAGGACACAGAGACATCAGTTCATGCCCTTCATACCAGTGCCTGAGTTACAATTTAACCCAGGCAGTGTGGCTCCATGATTTGTCCTCTGTGTCACCTTGCTAATTTCTAGACCCGTCTGTTCTTTAGCCTATTCATTCTCATGGCAGCTGTGTAAGAGAATATGGCATGAGGAACTGTACTAGTCTGACTTTTTTTTTTTTTTAAGAAAAGTTACAAAGAAAGTGACATGCCCCAGATTTAAGTACCCCAAAGCAAAAGAAATCAACTTCTTGGTAATCATGTCAACTGCTAGGGACCTATATAAGCCACCAGAAATTTAAGGAACTCCAATCACTATTATCCACATAAGTCACCCAGTAGTCACAAGGATTCTCAAGCTAACTAACAGAAGGCATTTGGTTTTGAGAACCTAGCTGATGTTTTTAGCAGAGTTGGTTCTAGATGAGGATTAGCCCTAAAACCCGGACTTAAGGGTCTAAAAAATAGATTCTACTATGGTTTAGTTGCAGATAAAAGTTTGTTTTAGGTAAATTTACAATCTAGAAGTCCACATAATATAGAAAAATACTAAACTAGAAACTAGAAAACTTGGTAGATATAGTAGAGTGCTTATCTACTATGTACAAGGTCCTGGGTCTGAGTCCGGCACTGCAATTTTAAAACGACTCTTGTGCTGGACATGTTGGTGCCGAGTTCAGAGACAGAGACAGAGCACACCTGAGGGTTTTTCAAGACAGGCTCTCGACACAGTCCTAGCTGTTCCAGAACTCACTATGTAGGCCAGGCTGGCCTTGAACTCACAAAAGATCCTCTGCTTCCTGAGTGCTAGGATTAAAGGCACAGGCCTCCATTACTTGAGTTCTGACAGCATCTATCCATTGAGTACTTAGCATATACTAATATACTATACCAAACACTTTAAACCATTATTTCATTTGCCTCCCATAGTATAGACCTTCAAATTATATACTATTATTGGCTTCATTTAAAACAGAGGCTCAGCCGGGTGGCACATGCCTTTAATCCCAACACGCGGGAGGCAGAGGCAGAAGAATCTCTGTGAGTTCGAGGCCAGCCTGGTCTACAAAGCAAGTTCCAGGACAGCCAGGACTCTGTTACACAGAGAAACCCTGTCTTGAAAAACCCTGTCTTGAAGAGCACTGGCTGCTCTTCCAGACGTCCTGAGTTCAATTCCCAGCACCCACATGGTGATTCACAACCATCTGTAATGAGATCTGATATTCTCTTCTAAATAAATAAAGAAAGAAAGAAAAAAGAAAAACAAAACAAAACCAAAAAAACAAAACAAAACAAAAACCATTCAATCCACACCTACCCATCTACCTCCACAGGCCATGCTGTTCCTAACTACATCCTCCTCCTAGCTTTATGGCCACTGTTTTACTGTCCCTTTACTAGGCTAGTCTAGAAATTCTACAAACATGAGAACCTTTCTTCCTTTTGTGTGTGAGTGTCTTTCTACTGTTCTACTTTTTGAAATAGGGTCTTGCTGTTTCAGCTGGACTGCCCAACAAGCTCCAGGGTACTGCCTGTCTCTACCTATCAGTGCTAGGGTTAACATGCACACATCTGTTTCCAGCTTCTTGGTGGGTGCTAGGGATCCCAACTCAGGTTCTCAGGCTTGCTCAGCAAGCGCTTTACCCAGAGCTGTTGTCCCAACCCCATTACAGTCATCAGTGGAAGCTGATACCCACCTCTACATCAAAGTTGGTCATATCGGCCTTCCACTTAAAATACTCTTGAACAGAACCCCCAAAATCCCTCGCAGCCTCATTGGAGGTAAAGCAGTGTTTCTCTCCTGCTCTGTTGCAGGTGACTCTAAACTTCTGTACTTGTGGTTCAGTTTCTTCTCTTAAGCTTTCGCCAGTCTCATCTTTGCAAGATGCCAAGACCTCGCCCACTAAGGTTGATATTTCTTCTTTAATGGCTGGATTTTCATAATAGTCCAAGATCTGTGGTTCTGAAGTGCTGCTAGTAAGCTTCTTAGCACCTTTCTCTTCTGCTTTGTCTCCCTGTCCACAGTTGGCCTTCTCTTTACCTGCACTCTGGTTTGCCTTTCTGTGCTTTGCTTTCCTCTTCTTGAAGCTGGTGTTAATTTGCCAGACCTTTAAAGGGTTGGACCATGGGAGCTTTTCAGCCAATTCTTCAAAGTCCTTTAGAACTTCTTCCTGCAAAGGATGGAGAATGAAACCCTTTTATTTCTCACCACTTTAACTGAACAAATAAATGCCCACTTTCTTTATAGACAGCTCTGGTCCTTAGGATGGAGGTGTGGGAGTGCAGAAGCAAAGGGTAAACCAAATAATGCCTGCAATTAAGGAAATCTCAGTGTGAACGAGAAGGGAGGGTATATAAAACCTATGCTACTAAAGAATAAGAGAAGGCAGATCAGACATACAGCACTAAGGAATGCCATGAGGGGAAGCAGGGATGGACGGCAGCAGAGGAAGAAGACAACCGGGAGAGATGACTTCCTTTTAGATCTTCTGAATTTGAATTTCAAACTATAGAAGTTAAAAATGTCATTTGTCCAGATTTTAAATAGTATGATTATCCATTTGTTTTGTATTTTTGAGATAGGGTCTCTTCTCTGCAGCCCTGGCTGTCCTGGAATTGGCTCTTTGGCTGGGCTGCCCTAGAACTCAGATCCACCTGACTCTGCCTCCTAAGTGCTGGGATTAAAGGTGTAGGCCACCACACCTGGCTCATATGATTATGTTTTTTAAAAAGTAAATTTGGTGGTGCCTGCCCTATCAAGTTCTTCTTTTCCAGTTTGACTACAGTACTAAGCATGATCTCTGGTTACTATGTTTATGTACTGTTTACTAGCAAGGACACTCCTGTAACTGCATGGTGGAAGGACCCAAACTACCTTGACCTTTGCTATAGGCCACACACCTACAACAGCAGAGGCATATAAAGGGTGGTTAATATACAGCTGCCAGGGTGGGTTTATTGGCACAGAGTTGTAATCCCAGCTACTAAGGAATCTGGGGCAAAGTTGCAAGTTCAGGTTTCCTGAGCTACAGAGTGGGTTAAAGGCCAGCCTAGATAACTTATTAACACCCTATCTCAAAATAAAAAGAGGGCCATGGATATAACTCAGTGGTACAGTGTACGGGTCCTAAAGTCAACTACTAGTACTGCAAGAGTCAACAACAAAGCAGCAGTTACTGGATGACATTTAAATATGAAGTACAGAATGCTGCTATCCAACAGAGCAAGCACTATCCAAACAGAGCTATATAATTTATATAAACCACCACAGTATGGATGTTCAAATGACTTAAAGCTCCAGAAGCCGGATGTGGGGGTGCACATCTTTAATCTCAGGCAGAGACAAATGGATCTCTGTGAGCTTGAGGCCAGCCTGGTCTATTAAATGAGTTCCAGGCCAGATATGGATGCAGTAAGACTCTGTTTTAAAACAAAAAACAAAACAAAACCTTTAGGAAATGAAATACTCAGTTTCTCAATCAATTCAGCTATATTTTACACTCCAGTCTAGCAATTAGCATGCTGTATCAATTCACTTTTTTCAAATATTTGTCCACAGTTCATTGATAAGAGTTAAATGTACTTTTCTTGATAAACTCCAAAGCCTCTGTTCCCATGAGGCCAGAAAGGAAGTAAAGATTAAAACAATTCATTCAGTGGAATGAAAATTATACTTCAATAAAACAATAAAAAAGAAAAAAAGGAGGAGGAAAAGACTTGTTTATCCCCAGTCAGTCCAGGGAGAGCTCTTCTTGGTCTAGAAAACCCTCAGGGTCTAGAAAACCACCAGGACCCTCTTATAAACAGCAGGCCCAAGAGAAACTGCCTTATTCATATATGAGTAAGTTCAAAACTTATCAACACAGCCTAGTGGTGGCGGTGCATGCCTTTATTCCTAGCACTTGGGAAGCAGAGGCAGACGGATCTCTGTGAGTTCGAGGCCAGCCTGGTCTACAGAGTGAGTTCCAGGACTACACAGAGTCTTTCCCACCCCCCACCCCCCCCAAAAAAAAAAGCAGGCACAGTGGTGTGTACCTATAATCCCAGTGCTGGGGTGTGAGAGACAGAAGATCCCTGAGGTTTTCTCACTAGCCAGCCTAGGTGACAGTGAGTTCTAGGTTCATCAAGAGACCCTATCTCAAAGGAAAAAAAGGTGGGCCAGGTGGTGGTGGCATGAGCCTTTATTCCTAGCACTTGGGAAGCAGAGGCAAGAAGATCTCTGTGAGTTCAAGGCCTGCCTAGTGTATGGAGTGAGTTCTAGGACAGGCTCCAAAGCTACAGAGAAACCCTGTCTGCAGAAAAAAACAAAACAAAAACAGAACCCAAATCAAACCAAACCAACAAACAAAATCCAAGGTAGAGGAGGCTGGAAAGTTGACCCAGTGGTTAAGATCACTTATTGCTCCTGTAGAGGACCCAAGTTTGGATCACCCACATGATAGTTCACATTATTTACAACTTCAGTTCTAAGGAATCTGGCCCCCTCTTTTGACCTCTGTGCATCAGGCACATGTACCTGGTGCACATATATACATGCAGACAAAACACCCATACACATAAAAAAAAATCTAAAAATGAGAATAAGGTGTAAATATGAGTGCACGTATACATAAATACCAGTAAAGGCCACACTGAAACCAGTATTCATAGAATCCTGCTGAAAAACACTCAAGGATGTGGAGAAAAGAAAAGCAAATAGCATGGCAATGAGCAAAAGAGTTCAAAAGAATTGAAAATGATTTTTAAAAAAAGGAAGATAATTAACATGTATTTATTTACCTAGATTTAAAATTTTCAGCAATTGAAGATATTTTTCCAGAAAGTTTAAGTGAATTGACAATAAGAGATACTCAAAAGTCTTCAAAGAAAGCTGGGTTTTACAGAAGCAAGCCAAACCCAAGGGTTCCCTCCATCCTGTGTCTGCAGTCTCATTGTCTCATATCCCCCCCCCCCTGTAATTCTAGTCTGCTTCTACAGGACGTCCTTTGCAGATCACCTCACTGTGACCTCATTGGCCCACCTCCCTGGAACCACCCTCTCCCGTTATTCCTGATCTTGCTTTAATAAAACCCAAGCCTTTAAAAAAAAAAAAAAAAAAAGCTGGGTTTTTCCTTGTTTTTTGGTCATTACATATTTATCAAGATGAACTCAAGACTCTTCACAACATTTGTTGCTAGAAGAACTACCATGGTCTTTCTGGAAGGGAAGACTTGTTCTTTATACTCCAGCTAACAGAATATACAAGATAAACATCCCTCAACTCAGGCCATTAAAAGATAACAAGAAATAGCCAGGAATAAGGGGCTCATGCTAACGATCCCAGGAGAATCTCTTCCAATGCAAGACTAGCCTGGGCTACAGAACAAAACCTCATCTTCAAAACCAAACAAGAAAACAGTGAAGGGCAAGAAGTACACCTTTATCCACATTTGGCTTTAAGCCTAAAATAAAAACAAAGTGTGCATTGTGACTATAAAACAGAAGCAAAGTTAAGTACACTCAGCACATAATAGGAAAGAGAAGTAATTTAAGAATGATGCAACCCTCATTGCTTATACTTACAGGTCAAAGGACAGAAGTACATGCTGATAAAGTATATTTACAGGTCCAACAGTAAGGAAGTGAAACAATAAAATCAGAATGGAGTGAAAATGGGGAAAAACATGACAATTTCATCTGCAAACATAGCAGGGATATTAAAAAAATAGATGAAAATAGTAGATTAGATGGATAGTACTAAGTTGTATTTATAAAGCTAATAGCTAGGGCACAAAAATAAAAGTTCTAAAGTAATTAAAAACATAGCATAAGAGCCAGGTGTGGTAGCACACACCTTTAATCCAAGATTGCTGAGCAGATCTCTGAGTTCAAGGCCAGCCAGGTCTACAAGAGCAAGTTCCAGGATAGTCAGGTCTACACAGAGAAATCTTGTCTCAAAAAATCAAACAAACAGAAACAGGACCTCTCACTGAACCTGGAGCTTATTCAGCTAGGCTGGCTGGCTGAAGAGCATGGGAATCCACCTGTCTTTCTCCGGAAGTGATGAGGTCACAGCATTGACTGTCCTGCCTGGCTTTCGTGCAGGTGCTAGGGACTGAACCTGGGTCCTTGTGCTTGTGCAGTAGGTACCTTACAATAGTGATCCCCTCACCTTCAAGAACCTTTTCACAGTGATTGCCAAAGCAACTTTGAAAGGTTAGCTCATGTAGATTTGTACCACAACGCCCAAATTCACCTCTATTTAGATATCAGAACTGCCTCAACTATACAAATTTTAAGATGACAAAATTCCAAGAATTTAATAAATTTAATAATGTCCTGGTAATGTAAAGGTAAGAGAATTTAAGACAGGAAAAAATTTTCTTAATACCCAGTAACATTTACTCATGCATAAAACTGACTTTCAAAATTCCCAAATACTTAGCAGTGTAACTTCTCAAAAAAAATTGCCTCTTATTTTTTAGGTATCATTCAGTTTGTAGTAACTATGAGAAGTCTCAAGAGTTAGTGCTGGGGAGTTCATTGGGAGTGCTCACTTAAGGTGCAAAGGTCAAAGGATCAACCCCCAGGGCATCACTAAAGAAAAAAAGGAATCCAAAGGATTACAAAGCTAGTGTTTCTAAATGTTGAAAGTTAGTTTTGTAGGTAGTAAAATTTTTAGTTATTTTCAGTGGATATTTTAGAGCTGTTTGAATTGTGTGTAGGCTTTAGGGTTTAGCTTTTTTAGGCTTTAGGTTTTAGCCTTTTTGTTGCTGTTTAAATTTTTTTTACTAAAATCTAACAAGGAAAGTGCTTTATTACTTTCTCCCCCAGATCAGTTTCTCCCTCAAGGTCAGTTTGATTGATTTGGGAATACTTTGGCTAGCCAAAATAATCTGGAAAACTAATAAAGACCAGAGAATTAGACAGCATACCACAGTTCTTTTAAGAAAGATTACCTCTAAGTTAGCTATTAACATAACATTGACAAAGTTTTAAGCACTTGATTCTGGAAACCTGGCCAGAAAGAGATGTAGGAAAAAAACCTTAAAGTATTACTGAGGCCTATTTCCACCCTTCAGATTAAACAGCAGCTGAATACTTAGGACTCAGATGATAAATACAGGCTGGAGACAAAGCTGTTGTCTTAACAACTGAAGGGTATTAAATGTTGCTTTGGCCTCACTTCAAAACATGAAGCTAAAACAGGACAAAAGCAAAATGGGGAGGGAATGCTATCTGTGATCTTTCCTTTACGTGCTAGAAGCAATTCTAGTTTCAAACCATACATACTACAGGTCAAGCTAATCTAAGACTTGCCAGTCAATTATTTTCTACTGTAACTTCAGTTTTTTTTAAACACTGACCTTTAAAAGCAGCTTTTGGGATGGACTGTCAAGAGATCTCTGGATTTTAATGAAAAAGCTTATTGTGATCACACATTTCGGTATGTGCAAGGTTCTTGTTTTATTCTTATCATTGTAAACAAATAAACCAGTACCAGAGCTACTGACAGGCAGGAAACAGTAGAAGACAATCTCTTTGGGAAAGATAGCTGAGAATCAGCTACCACACTTAGAATAGCTCACCTTTGTATTTTTGAACTGATAATCTTTAAACTCCTGAACAACCACAAACAAGTTATCAACTGATCTCAGACAATGAACCTAGGGAGGAAAACAAACGTTAGAAACAAACTTCTGAAAATACTTTTGAATAACACAGCTAGCTACAGTTAAATATTTTATAAAAGAAAAAGGTACAAAAATGTTTCATTTTTGTTTTGAGACAGGGTCTTGCTATGGTGCTCTGGGTTGCCTCAAACGCACAACTTCCCTGACTCAGTTTTCCAGTACTGGGATTACAGGCAGGTTTTAAAAGTACCCCATATCTGTACTTTTATTGTTGCTGCTGTTTTGAGACAGTTTCTCTGTGTAGCCCTGACTGTCCTGGAACTCACTCTGTAGGCCAGGCTGGCCTCGAACTCAGAGATCTGCCTGCCTCTGCCTCCCAAGTGCTAGGACTAAAGGCGTGCGCCACCACCACCCAGCTCATATCTGTTATTTTATATTTAAAATTTTCCCCATCCATTTCTTTGGTTACCCATCAGTTCTGCTTTTTCCAGGAGAAAGGGCCAGTGAAATGAAAGTATGAAATGTCATGTCTGAAGAAGGGAAAAATGTAAACATAAAATTTTCCCATCCTAAATGTTCCATTCTTTGGTTACCCATCAGAGAAAGGGCAGTGAGATAAAAGTATAAGAGTTTGATGGACTGGAGAGATGGCTCAGCAATTAAGAGCACTGTCTGCTCTTCCAGAGGTCCTGAGTTCAATTCCCAGCAACCACATGGTGGCTCACAACCATCTGTAATGAGATCTGGTGCCCTCTTCTGGCCTGCAGGCATCCATGCAGACAGAACACTGTATACATAATAAATAAATAAATCTTAAAAAACAAAGTACAACAGTTTGAAATGTCATGTAGAAAACAATCCTGGTTTGGAGAAGGGAAAAACAAAAACACAAGTGGGGCTTTATTATACTTCTTTCACGGCTTGCAGTAGTTTGTTGTGTACTGCAGTGGCAAAGAGCGTGGGATTTGAAAGCTGGATGTACAGTGCTTGCCTGCAATCTCAGCATTCTGGAGGTAGAGCAAAGGGGAACAGAAGTTCAAAGTCATCTTCAGCTGTGTAGTGAAAGTCAGGCTAACCCTGACTATATCAGACTCTATTTCAACTTTCTTTCTCCCCAAAAAACCACGTGGGGTTTAAGCTCTAATTCTGTGATGGCTGAGTTACTAAAGACAAACTACTACTTTGCTTCTTAAACCCCATGATTAATGGCAAGAGTAATACTGCTCAATTGTCACAAAACTGCTGAAGGCATCAACAAAATACTCGTTTACCAACACATACCACAAATATTATGTGGGTGCCTACTATAAGCTTGGGATACACTGGCAAGATAAAAACAAAACCTAAAAATATCTCCAGGCAATAATCTATGCCCAATGTCACTTGTGTGGTAATAAGAAAGCTTGTAGCTTTTGTTAGAATGGGATGTCAGTTTGCAGACCTCTACTTCTCACTTTCAGGAATGCAGAATTACTTTTGATCGTGAATGTCTCTGACACAGATGAAATGGAAAACCTCTGCTTTTGTACTTACCTAAACTTCTGCTAAAGAAAATTTAAATGTCACAGACAGTCATGTCCATTTCATTTTGGTGAATCAATCATCAGGAAATGCTATGATCACTTCTAAAGCATAGTAAACTAACGCTAAAATGTACTAAACTGAATGCACATTATAAAGATATTATAAACATTAACACTGTGCACTAAAAAATAGTCAATTTCACAAATCAGTACACAACAGAAAACCCAGTGATACTTTTGAGCAGAACAAAGCAAAGGACTGGCAAGGTATCTACAAACCAGAAAAGTAATCAAAAAGTAACCAAGTTGAAAGACTAATTTAAATACTCTTTTGTTCAAACCTGAGCCAGACTTTCCACTGGAATGTCAAAATATATCTTGCCCCGGTCTTTGCTGATTCTGCATGATGACTTCAGTTTCTCTCTGACTTCATCTGCAGCTGTTTGCTCAAAGCCAGTAGGAACAGTGGCTCCTATAGTGACTTGGAGATGCTCAGACTCACTTCGGATGCCACTTTCCATCACTGGCACAGACTTCTTGTTCTCTTGAAGGTTCATATTCAGGAGTTGGCTGGTAGCTTCTTGAGTGTCAGACATGATAGAAATGTTTCTGAAAGGCCTAACAGTCTCTTTAAAGGCAATATAGAAAAGAAAAAAAGAGAAATAAACCCCAGTCGTTTCATATTTCAAATGTATGTATCAGAATTAAAACTGTCATATAAATAAGGGCAGGGACTGCAGGCAGTGAAACATGATTAAATGAGCAATATACAGGCACATAAGCGAAAGGAAGACAAATCAGAGCGTTTCCACAGCATGCAGTGTTTGGTTTGGGGGTCATCTGTATTGGCAAGCACGATTTTACAACTGTATTTGTTAACATAAAAACAGAAATTCCTCCCACCCTGTCCTTCTAACTAGCAGCAATTCAGAGGATTTGAATTTTTGCCTCCCACATTCTCAGGTCCAAATGACCCTAAAGCAAAGTTAATCGTGCCTAGCCTCAAGCTGGGAATTAAATAATATGTCCCAAATTTGGAAGATTTTAATGAGACCAACACAATTCTGGACTAATGATCAAAACTTTTTAGTGTGTGGGAAGGGTATCTATTTTCCTCTCTGTAGTCAAGTGGGCGGTGAGTTTAATAAAGATTAACTCAACTTCCACTATCTAAATGACAAAGCTCCGAAAGCTCACTACATGGTGACGCTGAGATCCAATGATGAGCATCCAGGGGAGATCTTGGAAAAAATACCCGAAGTCAGTAAAACAAACTTCCCGTTTGAGTGTTTGTGCAGGGTGAAGGGGCTGGAGAGGTGTTACCGTGATGGAGGACCCACACCTCCCCTGATATTTTCAAAGGAGTTGTGACTTTGGCTGACACCTTCGCTGTCCCTATGCTGTCCCAAGGACAGGCCACAGAGGTGACTACGGTGGCACCGCGTCACCGCTGGCCACTGGGAACAGAACCCCACCTTCTACAGGCAGGTGGGGAATGTGATAGGGGGCTCGGAAGTCTCCCATTCCCACCGGCGATGAAGCCGAGCGGGGGGCCACACGCTCCATCCCGGCACCGACTGGCACGAAGCCAACGCTGCCCTCCCTCCATCCCGCCTACCCGGCCACTCCCACCCGGGCCAGTTACCGGCTGCAAGCAGACCCTTCCGGCCGCCACACCTGCGGAGAAGGCGCGCTCGGGGCACGCCGCCGGAAGCCGAGTTGCCACCCCGGAAGCGGAAGTCGGGCCTTGGGGGTCATGGTTCTCCCGCGCTCCGGGTGGGCTCGTGGTGAGACGAGGGTGCGCAGAACGCTGTGCGCAGTTGGCTGCACTCTGAACCGGAACAGGAAGAGCTGCCGGCGGGTCACCTGCCCCGAGGTAACCTCCGTGGAGGGCGTGGCCAGAGCTAACGCTGAGTCAGCTCCTCGGTTGTGCCCCGGTGTTTGTGTCAAGCGTCAAACGTTTGGATGGTGCTGTGACTTAGTTCCCGTTGTAAAGGCAGAGAAACTCGGTCTAAAGATCATCTCTCCCCATTCCCGTCTTGCATAGCAGTTTTTACTTGGAATTCGGTTCTGAGATGGAAGTCTCGCTGTGTAGCGGTGACTGGCCTGGAACTCGCAGAAAGCGCTGGGGTTAAAGATGGGTGTCACCACGCCTGGCTTGGTTTCTGCAAGGGGGCAGCAAGCTGGGCTGTAACTAGAATAGAGCCCACAGCCTGGTCTGTGGTTTTCATATTGCATTTTTATGTTGACTATTACTACACTATTGTGTTTCATGTTTTTCTTTATATTTCAAAGGTTACATTTCATAATTTAGTTACGTTTATTTTGTGTGTGTGTTTGTTGGGGGGGAGGGGGGGCATGTGCCAAATCTGAGGTCAAGACAACTTGCGGGAGTTGGATCTCTCCTTCCACCACGTGGGCTCTAGTGATCCAACTGAAGTCATCAGGATTGGCAGCAAGTGTCTTTACCCTCTAAAACGTCTCAGTGGCCCCAAATGCAACATTTTAAAAAGGAAACTTACAACTCAACAAAAAGAGACAACTGAATTTTTAAAGTGATGGTTGTATAGAGAGGTTCTCAGTGATTAAGACCCGATTTTCCAGAGGATTCAAGTTTTGTTCCCGGCACCCACCCAGATCAGGCCACTCACAAATGCCTGTAACTTCAGTTCCAGGGGATCTGACACTTGAATCTGACTTCCAAGGGCACCGTGACACTGCATGAATGATGTGTACATACATTCTCCCTCTCTCTCTCCCTGCCCCCAACTATATTTTTTTTTTATTAAAATTTTAGTGGCCGCAGCAGCAACAGACATGGAGCCACACTATTCCCATCATCAGGGACAATGAATAAGGTAAACCCAGATCTTTGGCTTGGATGCAGCACAGAAGTTGGGGACCAGCCAGTATAAAGCAGTATTTTAGTTTATTAAAAAACAGAGGTCTGGCCGGGTGGTGGCAGCGGCGGCGGCGGCGGCGGCGGCGGCGGCGGCGCACGCCTTTAATCCCAGCACTCAGGAGAGGCAGAAGGAGGCAGATCTCTGTGAGTTCGAGGCCAGCCTGGTCTCCAAAGCGAGTTCCAGGAAAGGCGCAAAGCTACACAGAGAAACCCTGTCTCGAAAAAACAAAAACAAAAAACAGAGTTCTGATATAGAGGGCTCAGCTGGTAAACTGGGTCTGCCACCAAGCCTGACCATCTGAACTCCATCCCCAGAACCCACATGGTGGAAGAACAAACTCCCACAGGTTGCTCCCTGACCTCCACATCTGTGCCAAGAGAGCCCCAACTCCATAAATAAATGTTTAAGGAGGGGGGAAAAAAAGAGCCAGGAGGTGGTGGTGCATGCCCTAATCCCAGCACTGGGGAGGGCATACTCATACTCTTGAGTATGAGGCCAGCCTGGTCTACAGAGTGAGTTCCAGGACGGCCAGGGCTACACAGAGAAACCCTTTGTGGGGGTCAAGGGTAGATACTCAAGGGAAAAATAAAGCACACCTGAGAGTATGGGTGTGGGCTTCTCAAAAAGGAACGCACTTTATTAAATAAAGGCAGTTTTAGCGTAGACTTTAAGCCTAGGAGGTAAGAGTAATTTAACCACTTAGTGGCTATGAAGTTACATCTCAAATGAAAAAGAAAGCTTATTCCTTTTTATTTTTCATAAGTGAGATTATAAGATGCTTCAGAAGTGCCTTGGAAGGGATTACAGTCTGATAAGACCAGGAGCCGCTCGGATTGTACAGAGGGTTAGGACATGCGCTTTACTGTAAGTGGAGTTTCTGATGAGAGTCCTAGAGAATTACAGGTTCTCAGATGGGGAAGGAGGGAGGCCTCGAGCAGCTGCTAATTGTTTTTGAATCTGTGATTCTCAGCTGTGAGAAAGAGGCTCCTCTTGCTTCTCAGGTCCCTGTAATTTCTCCTTTCCTACTTCACAAAGGACTTGCATCAGTGCTTTCTGAAAAGGTATACAGATGACCAATAAGTCTGTGAAATGATGGTCAATATCACTAATCATTTGAGAAATGTAACTTAACACTAACTTCATGATACCTCTTCAAATGGCAAGTTTGAAAAGCAAGAATCTCCTCCCGCGTTCTAGAGAGGATATGGAGCAATGAAATGCTGCTGCTGTCAATGCAAATGTTATAGCAATGTTAGGATTCAATTTAGCTTTTCTGAACAGGGTGTAACATATAATCACCACATTCCCCATTCTACCAGTGTATTCTCAGAAGTGGAAACATGTTCAGACAAGAAGTTTTTCACAAATATGCATTGTATATAGCCCCAAAGTAGAAACAACCTGAATATCCATGACATGATGGACAGATGTGAATAGATGCACAACAGGTTAGTATTTTGTCATAAAAAATACTATTCAGTTTTGTTTAAATTTTGTGGTGTGTTATATCAAGCCCAGTGCTTTGCATGTGCTAAGTAAGCACTCTACTAGAAGCTACCTCCATAGTTGCTCATAAAAACTGCTGAAGTACAGATATATGCTACAATATGTATGAACCTTTGTAACATGTTAACTAAAAGAAGCCAGATGCAAAAGACCACATTTAGGCTGTGGGTGTAACTCAGTGATAGTGTCCTTTGTTTCCTAGCATATGAGAGGCCATAGGTCCAATCCCCAGTAACCTGTGTGTACGAGAGAGAGAGAGAGAGAGAGAGAGAGAGAGAGAGAGAGAGAGAGAGAGAGAGAAACAGAGAGAGAGACAGAGAGACAGAGATCACAGAAAACCACAGGTACAATTCCATTTATTTTTAGTGTCTAGAAAACCTACATATATAGAGTCAGAAAGCAGATTAGTATTGCTTAGGGTTAGGAGGGGAATTGGAGGTGATAAGTAAAGGTTATTGGCTTTTCTGAGCATGAGCATGTTCTGCAATTAGGTAGTAATAATAAGTTACACACCATCATAAGTATACTAAGAGACACGGAATTATACATTTTAATAAAATAGCAAATTTTATGTAAAGTTTATCTGGATAGAGAACGCTTTGGATCTTATGCGAGATTCACCTACAGTTTCTTCATTCACAAACTTATACTTTCCTCCAAGAATTGTTGGGAGACTTAAATGAGATTAACACATTGTCAGCCGTGTGATAAAATGGATGGTGCTCTTAATGATAATTGGAACAGAGGCTGGTGAGATGGCTCAGCAGGTGGGGGTTCCAGCCACCAAGCCTGATAATCTCCATCCTCTGGACCCACACTGTCTGGGGAGAGCACCAGCTTCAATAGGGGTCCTCTAACCTCCAGTACTGAGGGAGCTATGACTTGGGTACACACAGGTACACACACACACACACACACACAAATAGTAATGAAAATGAAGCATGAAAATAAGATAAAATTACTAAATTCTGGTCAGATAGATTCTGTGTAAAAGGCTTTTATGTTGTTTGTTTTTTCTAAAAATGTATTCATTTGATTATTTATTATTACCTACCTTAGGATTGTAAAAGGCTTTCAATCAGCTGTGAATCTAGAGCCCACTCTCCAGTTGTGAAAGATGAGGTATTAGAGACAACCTAGCACTAACAGAGACCTTCTTGACATAATGAAGGGTTAGAATACTGAAGAGATACTCCTGGGTCTAATTTTAGTGCTGTCTCATGTGTATCTTACGTGTGTCTTCATACTATCTAATAAGGTTCGGGCTTGGGGCTGGAGAGATGGCTCAGTGGTGAAGAGCACTAGCTGCTCTTTTGGAGGATCCAAGTTCAATTTCCAGCACCCACATGGCAGCTCACAACTGTCTGTATCTCCAGTTCCAGGGAATCTGGCATCCTCACACAGACATACATGTAGGCAAAGTAACAATGCATATAAAATAAGTAAATTTTAAAAAAAGGTTCTACCAGTCATATGCTGGGTCTCTCAATGTAGACAACAGAATATATTGACTATTTGTTATATGTCAGACGTTCTTAATTTAGGCTCTGGGTATACAGCAGTGGAGGCATCAAGGAAGAGATCCTTAGGTGTCTGCATTTATATTCTAAAGAAAAATGATAGCATAGTAAACAATATGCAATAACATTCTTTGAGAATCAGTAATATGCTGAAAAACTAAGGAAAGTCAGGGTTGGGGCAGGTAGAGAGTGCAGAAGAGATGGGGAATAATTCAATGTTATGTCAACAGGACAGGAAAGGTCTCTTTGTAAGGTCACAGAGCAGAGCCTGAAGGAAGAGAGCAGGCTGTTTAGCAGTCTGAAAAAAGAGTATTCTAGAGCAGGTTCAAAAACGTTCAAAAGGTCTAGAATTAGATAGGAGGCTCGTTCACCTGAGAAAATGAAGGAATCAAGTGTAAGATGAAATAGCCAGTATTTTACAAATTCTCACCATGCCTTACAGTTAAGAACACCGCTCTGCTAGAAAGATGGCTCCGTGGTAAGGAACACTTGTTGCTATTATGAAACCAAAGATCAGTTTCCAGCGCCAACATTGGATGACTCACAGTCGTCCACAGCTGAAGCTTCAGTGGACCTGGTGCATGGAGTCTCCTGGTCTACACACACACACACACACACACACACACACACACACACACACACACACACACACAAATAAACAGTTTTGAAAAGTTCACCACTCTGGGCTTAGGAGCGTAGCTCAGTTGTCAGAGTGCTTGCTTTGCATGCAGAGTTCCTGAATTCATCTCAAGTATGTGGTGATGATGCAGGTTTGTCATTCTAGCACCTGGGAGATAGACGTTCAAGGTCCTCCTCAGCCACATGGCAGTTTGAGGCCAGCCTGAACTTCCTGATAGCTTGTTTCAAAGCCAAAAATCAAACAACTGAAACAGCATCACCCTGAAGCCCAGATGAAAGCCCACTAGACATTTCAGTGGGCCAAGTAAGAGGTGGTGACAGTCAAATTGGAGTGCCAGGGTTGGGTATGGTGAGAGTTGTCAAGTTCTGGTACATTCTGAAGGAATAACAGTCATTGCTAGGAGACTGGATGTGGTTTTCAAAAGAAGATAAAAAAGGAAGTGTATGGCCAGGGCCTTCCAAATTTGCTGCTTTAGGGCAACCACATTCTGCTGATAGGTTTATGCTAAGGAACTCGTGCCGAAATGTCACCAATGAAGCCAACAGCACATTTTCTCTTTAGTTTAGTTTATTAGAGAGGACTAATTTTTTTTAGAACATAAATATTTATTTGCAACAAAGGAATTTGTGTACAGTGTTGAAAATCTACAACTTCTTGTTAAATTCACATTTGCACTTCTCCTTTTTAAATAAACATTTATAACCATTATTTTATACAGATATAGATATGTAAATACAACATCGAGTTGGAGAGGACTATTATTTTAGTTTATCATAAAAGAGCCCAAAGATATGCCACGAAAATACTGATTAAAATGGCTCCTTAGTAGAAAATGCCTATTTTGAACAAGTTACATATGTGTATGAAAACTGAAGCCTCTATTTTTAACTCTTTTTGGAGGCAGTATTGAGACAGTTTCTCTGTGTAACATCCCCAACTGTCCTAGAATTCACTCTGTAGACCAGGCTAGCCTCAAACTCAGAGATCCGCCTGCCTCTGCCTCCTGAGTGCTGGGATTAAAGGTGTGCATGACTGCTCCTGGCAGAAGTGTAAGCTAAAGTCATCTCCAAGGAAACAAATGTTTTGAAATGTTTTACCTTTTTTATTAGTGTGTGTGTACATGTTTATTATATTTGTGGAGGTCAGGGGACAAATGGCAGGAATTCATTCTCGCTGTCTACACTGTGGGTCCCAGCAAAGGAACTCAGGTCTAACCACTTCTTAGCCTTTCACTTCATTCTTTGATGACGACGATGATGATATGGTGATTTGTGCATCACACGCTACACATTTGGAGGTCTGAGGAGCACTTGAAAGAGTTGTTTCTTTCATTCCATCTTTACGTGGATTCTAGGGGTAGAGCTCAGATGGTAAGGTTCGCATAGCAAGCACTTTACCTGCTGAGCTGTCCCACACTCCCAGCCCCGCCCCCTTTTGTTTTTTTAAGAACTCACTCTGTAGACCAGGCTGGCCTTGAACTCACAGAGATCCACCTGTCCTTACTTCCTAAGGGCTGGGATTAAAGGCGTGCGCCACACCTGGCTGCCCTAGCCCATTCTTAACATAAAGCAAGGTCAGGGTTAGAAAATCACACAGTACAGCTACTGTACTGCCTAGTTCCTCATTTCTTTAGATACAAGGTCTATTCACTCTTTGTGCTTTTCGGGTTTTGTTGTTGCTGTTTAGTTGTTTCTTCTTCTTCTTCTTCTTCTTTTTTTTTTTTTTTGGTGCTTACTTTCATGCTCCAAATAACATGTTCACAGTACTATTTCTTGCTTTTTCAGTTTTCCATATTTTCTATGGATTGTGCTGAGGTACTTAAGTTGACCCTGTTAACTTTTCATTCATCTATGTTCCCCTTCCTTCTGTCCTTACAGCTGCAGCCCCACAGAGTTTGTATCTTAATGTTACGTTTAACTTTAAATGATATGTTAAATACCTGTTTATTTATTTATTGTACAGTCTCATCAAGTAGCATTGGTTGGTCTAGAACTCAAGATCTTCCTGTCTCCACTTCCCAAGTAATGGAATCACAAGTGCATACTACCTCACCTGACTCTATATCTCGTCCCGTCAACCGTACACGGCATTCTTGTTCCTCCATGCTGTAAGGTGAGGATTTTATTAGCATTCTGGCCTTCACTCCACCTCTCCCCACTTCTTTGTCCCTCCTAGTCCATTATGTTAAAAGACTATCCCACCTGGCAGGTTGGAGTCCTGTGGGGATGTAATTGAAAGAAGGATGTGCCTGCACCAGCTTCTATCTCAGCAAGCAGCTGAAATTCCATCTCCTCCAAAGAAACCTTCTGGGAACCTCACTGGGAAAGGAGAGATGCATCTGCAATCCTATTACTGAAACAACAGCCTAATAGTCCATGAACCCTTAACCCAAAGACCTTTGTCCTGTTGGGTGTTGACAGCTGCAGGGAAAACAATTAGCTTTGGCCCTGTGCTGAACAAGCACTGGTTTATTTGCTTTTCCCACGCCCTTTCAAGCCAAAGGTAGTAAAACTTCTTCAGTAATATGACCCCTGTGAGAACTCTGAAAGGAATTAGTGACATCACAGTGGATTTTCAGAAGAAAGTATGTGAATTTTATTAGTTCTTCAGCAATTGCATATTGATAAGTTAAATTGATTTAAAAGCAACTTAGTCATTTAAAAGAAACTGTAGTTTTGCTGCAATTGATGTCTAGAAGGGACTAAAGAAGGTGATGAGCCAGACAGTGAAACACCCCTGCCACCTAGTGGTTCTTTACGCTGGAGCATTTGGGCTCTCTGAAAGCACAGAAAACAAAACAAAACAAAACAAAACAAAACAAAACAAAACAAAACAAAAAGAAAGAAATTGCTTGTACAGGAAACAAATGCAGCAAATGTCCTAAACTGGAAACTTCCATTTCCTCCTCCAATTGTCCAGTTAGAGCTGAGAGAGCCTGGAAACGGTGTAGGTAAACATGGATGGCCACTAGGGCTCTAGCACCAAGTGGCAACTGGTTGCAAAGGGAATAAAAGAGCAGACACAGGGTCAACAGTGTGACAGGGTCCCTTGGGAGTAGTCACTGCAGCAGCATTGGGGTCCGAGGCAAAGCTGATTCAGAGATAGCGTCCAAAGGGATGATAGGACGATGATGGTGAAGTCATGAGGACTTAGGATCATTAGGCCACAGGAGCTCTGGACACTGTGGTCATGAGACGGCAATATAGTGCTTGATTGAAGGTGAATAATTAGGACACCCATGTCCACAATAGTAAAGGGAGAGTGGTCCTTAGATGTGGCAGTATATTCATTCCATGCACTCCCATAGATTCCCACATTCAAAGATATTGAAGTTCCTGTATAAAATGGCAGAAGTACTGACTGGTGCACCTCAGCTTGCATACTTGAAGGCATTCCTAGGTTGTCTATTATACCTAATAAAGTGTAAATGGTAAGTAGTCTGTACATGTGTAGTACAGGTGCAATTAAAAATATTTCCTATCTGTGATTGACTGAGTCAGTGAGTGCAGAACCCATGAGAAAAGAGGGCCGGTTATATGCGTCCAGGCAGGGCCTTGTCTCACCACTGTTTTTTTTTTTTTTTTTTTGGTTTTTCAAGACAGGGTTTCTCTGTATAGCTTTGTGCCTTTCCTGGAACTCGCTTTGGAGACCAGGCTGGCCTCGAACTCACAGAGATCTGCCTGCCTTGGATTAAAGGCGTGTGCCACCATTGCCCGGCTCACCACAGTGCACATTGTCAGTCCCATTAGTAAGGTGGTGAAACTGAGGCTGACTAGCCCAAGTCATGGGGCCAGTGAGTCCGAACCAGCATTCAAACACAAACCAAGGTGATCTGAGCTCCAGCTTCTGAACTCTTGAGTACTTTGCTTTCTTTCCCATCCTCTCAGAGAAAGGACACTGGGTTCTGTTCATTCAACTATGGTCCTCCACTGAAGGGCAGCTGGAAGCTGGGACTCTGAGGCAGTGAGGAGCTACCTGCCTCGGAGGATCTGCTTCCTGCTTACAGGGGCTACTTAGTCATCCCAGACGGAGTCCTCCTTAACTGTACAATAGGGGGTCAAATGATGACTGTCTCATAAGTGGCTATGGATAGTCATTGAGGTAATACAAAGGTTTTACAAAGATGGCTTCTAACAGTTCTAATATCCTTGCTCTCAACAAGGGGCACAGGGTTTATGGCTTGTTTTTACCTCTAGATTTGACTTGGTGTTCCGGAATGTGTCAGTGTGTCACAGACCAGCTCCGAGTGTGAGTCATGAGAGGCCGGGTAGCCTCCACCCCCACTCTGCACTGCCCTTGCTGCTGTTACTATGTGAAGCAGCCAAGCCTGAGAGTCTGTTTGTTTTGGGACAGGGTCTGATTTCCTTTAGAGCCCTTTCCCTTGTGCTGGTTAGGATTTTGTTTGGAACAAACTAGAGCCATCTGTGAAGAGGGAACCTCAATTGAGGAATTACCTCCATCAGATTGGCTTGTATACCTCGTCTCTTTGGGGATCATTTTCCCTTCCTTCCTTCCTTCCTTCCTTCCTTCCTTCCTTCCTTCCTTCCTTCCTTCCTTCCTTCCTTCCTTCCTTCCTTCCTTCCTTCCTTCCTTCCTGTTTTTTATTTTTTGTTTTTGAAAGCAGGGTTTCTCTATGGAGCTTTGGAGCCTGCTCTGGAATTCGCTCTGTAGATCAGGCTGGCCTTGAACTCACAGAGATCTGCCTGCCTCTGTCTGCAGAGTGCAGGGATTAAAGGCACATGCCACCATCATCGCCTGGCTCATGTTCTTGATTAATGATTGATGTGGGGAGGTCCCAGCTTAGATCACTGTAGTTGACACTACTCCTGGGCAGGTGGATCTGGGCTGTATAAGAAAGGAGGCTGAGCAAACCATGGAGAGCAAGCCAGGAAGCCACATTTCTCTATTGCCTCTGCTTCATTTTCTGCCTCTGAGTTCCTGACTTGAGTTCCTGCCTTAGCTTCTCTCAATGATGGACAGTGAGCTGTAAGATGAAATAAACTGCTTCCTCCCCAAGTCATTGTATTATCACAGCAACAGAAACAAAACCAGGGGATCCCTCAATTCTTTTTTTCTATCCTATATATTTGTCCCTGTTTTACTGATTCTGTGTATTGTTTTCCTGTTTTCTCCTTACCTTTTCGCTCTTCACTGGTTCCTGATGCTGGGGATCAGAAGCAGGACTTGTGCCTGCTAAGCATGTGCTCTGCCACTGGACTACACCTCAGACCTCCTGCTTTCCTATCTTCATTCTTTATTGGGATAACTAGATAAGCTGTCCCCTGAGATGTAAGCTCCAAGAAGGAGGGAATTTTCTTGTATTTTGTTGTCTATAAAATACTCTTTCGTTAGAACGATGACTAGTATAAAGAATGTATGTGGTGACTGCATTGAATTAAACAGTGGTATAGAGCAACATTTAACATAGGTTATGCTAAACTACTATAATACATGAGGTCATTCACTTTGTCTTTTAAAATGTTTGCTTACTTTTAGCCTGCTTTCACTTAGTTTGATTTCCCTTCCTTCTCTCTTTCTCTTGACACAGGTCTTGCTATGTAGCACAGGGTGGTCTCAGATTCACTCTGTAACCCAGCTTGGCCTCCTCTTTGCAATCCTCCTCTGTCAGCTTCTTGAATACTGGGACTATAGGCATGCACAGCTATATTTAACTTGCCTTTTCTTTTCTTTCTCCCTCTATCTTTGGGTATTCTATCTTTCCTGTGATCCAAGAATAGGTGCTGGAATCACAGTATATGTCTGTAATTCATGGTTGCTTGCAAGTTTATTGCATATAAAACTCTACTGTTCAGAGCTGGAGAGATGACTTAGTGGTTAAGAGCACTGGCTGCTCTTCCAGAGGACCCAGGTTTGATTCTCAGCATCCACATGGTGCTCACAACTCTCTGTAACTCCATTTCTAGGGAATGTGACACTGTCATCTGGCCATGTGATGCACAGGCATACGTGCAAACAAAACATCCATACACATAAAAGGAAATACAAACTTAAAACCTCTGCTGTTGAGGTGAGCCCTATTCTGGTGCTTGGGACTACTTCAAACAGAGGCCTCTATGAGTGGAATGGAAAGCGGCAGAAGCCTCACATGGGCCTGACTGTACATGTCTGTTAGCATGTGGGTGTTCCTAGTGTCTGTTGGTGAGTAACTGCTACTCTTGGCAGGAGAAATGTGAACAGAATCAAGTAGGAATAATTAGCCAATTTTCTCTTCTCCTTTTTCTAGATAAAGAAATGGAAATGTACTGAAATGCAGTAGAGCAGTCCTTTGTCAGGCAGTTTCTGTTAAGAATCCCTCTTGATATGCAAGCGGGGATTGAAGAAATCAGACTCCATATTCTCTTTTAAGTTGATTGTCAGGGTAATCACATACATTTTAGAAGCATGATTTCCCAGGGCTAGATGGGAAAAGACATGTTGAACTGGTAGCTGGAACCAATTGCATAGATTGCTGTGTTTTCTTGCACAGTCACTGATATAGGAAGGTCTTGCTTCTCTTTCCTACTAGTGTTTCATCTTCACATCCACAGTATTCTGAATGTGTAAGCCAGTGGCCAGAGATAGCTCATCCCAGTATGAAACAGTGTTATTACAGTTCTCAACTCAGACTTGTTTGCGTTTGGTAAGACTCAACTCTGACTTCTAAGCCCTGCTAATGTTAAAAAAAAGTCCCATATATATTCTTCCATCATTTAAGACAGGTGCTTCCAAAGCCAAGAGTTGGAAGCATAAAGGATAAGTCTCTGACCTTCCCTCAAGATTGCTTTCAGCTCCTTCCATCCCCAGAACATCTGATCATCTTATGCGTCAGACCTCTTTACAAGTAAACCAACCTAGTTTCAGAGAAGGAAGATTTTGAGCCATTCAGACCATTGGTTCTGATTTATTTATTTTTATTTATTTATTTATTTATTTATTTTTTGATTTTTTTGAGACAGGGTTTCTCTGTGTAGCTTTGCGCCTTTCCTGGAACTCGCTTTGGAGACCAGGCTGGCTTCGAACTCACAGAGATCCGCCTGGCTCTGCCTCTCGAGTGCTGGGATTAAAGGCTTGCGCCAACACCGCCTGGCCTGGTTCTGATTTATTGGGGCCAAAAGACCCTAAAATGTGCCTGGTATTTCCATTCTGCCTAAGGTAGGATCAGAACTTGGTGATAACAGAGGAATAAGAGAGGAGCAATAGCCAAGTGGCAGTGGCACACGCCTTTAATCCCAGCACTGGGGAGACAGAGACAGGTGGATCTCTGTGAGTTTGAGACCAGCCTGGTCTACAGAGTGAGTTTCTGGACTGCCAGGGCTATGTAGAGAGATGCTGGAGAGAGGGGGCGGTAGAGGGAAGGAGGACATAATGAGGAGGAGGAGGAGACAAAGACAACAATGACGATGATGATGGTGGAGAAGGCAAAAAGATTCTTCTGGAAGACTGGAAACTCCCACAACCATGTTCTCACATGTGCAGCAGAAAATTAGCATCATTGCCAAACTTTCTGAGCAGTCCAGAATTTACAACACTTGGCGGTACTTCATTTTTTCTCTGTGAACATAAAAACTTAATCACCTTTAATAATTAACGAAGGAAGCTATTAAAAACTTAGTTGTGTGTAAAAAACGAAAGTCCTTGGTCTTGCATGTTTTTTGCTTTAAGAATCAAATAAAAAAGTGCAGTTTTGAATCTTTTTTTGGGGGGGGAGATAGTTAATCCTAGGGGCTCATGCATACATATAGGCAAACACTGCTGATCTATATCCCACCCCTTTTCTTGTGTTTTTCTTTTGAGACAAATTTCACTAAGTGGCCTAGACTGAACTAAACACCCTGAATATTCAAGACAGGCCATACATTCTCAATCATCTTACTTTAGCTTTCAGGTAGATAGGATTATAGGCCTGTACCACTAAGCTTGGCTGTATTTTCACATTAAAAATATTTTATTTACATGTATGTGTGTGTGCCTACCTGTCTCTGTATGTTCTAGTTAGGGTTACCATGGCTGTGATGGAACACTATGATCAAAGCAACTTGGGAAAGAGGGGGGTTTATTTGGTTTACACTGTCACATCACTGTTCATTATCAAAGCAAGTCAGGGCAGGAACTCAAACAGGGCAGGAACCTGAAGGCAGGAACTGATGCAGAGGCCACAGAGGAGTGTGACTTACTTGCTTCTCATGCCTCCCAAGTGAGGGGATTAAAGACGTGCGCCACCACTGCCTGTCAGCCTGCTTTCTTACAGAACCCAGGACCACCAGCCCATGGATGGCATCACCCACAATGGGCTGGGTCCTCCTACATCAATCCGCAATTTGAAAAACATTCTACAGGCTTGCCTAGAGCCGATCTTATGGAAGCATTTTCTTAATTGAGGTTCCCTCTTCTCTGATGAATTTAGCTTCTGTCAAGTTGACATAAAACTAGCCAGCGGTGTGTATGTACATGCAGGTACCCAAGGAGGCATTGGATCTTCTGGAACTGGAGTAACAGGCAGTTGTGAGCCACCTGATGTGGATGTTGGGAACTGAACTCTGTAGTGGGCCACAGCTATGCTTAGAGACACTGGCCTGAATGCCTGATTTCTGAGCCTTCTCTGATTTTCTGTACTTGAACCTATAACTTTCTTCCCAGTCTTCAGCAATAGTCTGAAGCACATTACAGTGATCATCCACAGTGGGAATGTGATCGGATCAAACCCTTCTGTCAGAGTGTTTGGTGAAGGCTTCAGAGCTTTAAAAATATGCAGCATCACTGGCTCTTCTAAACCTTTAAGGAAAAAAATGAATATGATCAAGATCTATGTACAAAAATGTTTACCACAGCGTATTTTTTAAGATGAGGAAATCCAGAAAGAAACCTAATGGTCCCAATAATAGGATGCTATGTTTTCACTAGTAATGAAAACAAAGAGACTTATTGACATAAAAAAATTATACACAAGACTAATTTTAAAGACAGTACATACCAGAACATGTATTATATAATTCTTTTCTTCTAAAGAGGTATGCCCATTGAGGGAAATTGGCTGGAATACATGCATACATACATACATACATACAAACATGTTAACAGTGAGTATTTGTAACAATATTTTTTTCCAAGATATCCACAGTAGATGTTTTCTTACTTCAGCAAAATGAAAAAAAAAAAAAAACAAACTTTAATTACTAGAAACAAAAAACCAAAGAAACAAAAATAGCTTGGTAGAAGTTAGAAGAACATGAACAAGGGAGGTTGGATGAGAAATGATTACAGCAGTTCAGGTGAGAAACAAGATGATGTAGATGACTCAGAAGGCTGATTTGGACATACTTTGTACTCCTACCTGTGAGATCAGTACGCCTATGAGAACAATAAGCATAGGCCACACCTTCAAGCCAGTGATAAAACTGGTCTTTCAAAAGAGCCAATGTGATTCATTCATCATTGCCATGCTTCAAATAAGTGTTTAAAGAAACATAGGTAACTTTGATGATTTTGGCTTTCAGGCCTGTATAACTGAGTTCATGGAGGTACAACTGACTACTGGAAAGAACATATGAGGAAGCCTAGACTGGAAGGAAATAATGAAGTCAGTCTTAGAAACACAGGGTGTAAGGGGTTTGTGGGCCTGTTCCAAGCTGCCATGAGTCTGGAACCCAGGTGTCTGGTCTATAGACACGGAGCACAGAATCAACAATCTAAATAGTCAGTGCAAATCCTAATTAAAATCAAGGTGATAGTCAGGTATCTTGGAAGTAGGCCATAAAAGGAGCTGTGCAGGAAATGATGAGCTGTGCAGGAAATGATGCTTCCAAGTGGTCAGTGATTCAGGCAGCAGAAGTCCAGGCAGGCCAAGGCAGAGGAGGCCACTGAGAAAGCCAAATAGGAGTGGAAAGCCAGGCCAGCCTGTAATTGGCCAGTCTGGATTTAAAGCGTGGCAAGACTGACCAGTTGGGCCAACTCAATGTTGCGTTCCTTTCAGCTTATTAGGACACCCACAGGTCAGTTGTGCAGCAGGTACAGGGACCAGCACTCAGTGAGGAGAACTGAAGGTTCACCATATGGAACTGTGACCACAGTTCCGGGGCAGAGCAGGTCCTTTTGTGTCTGATATTCCATTTACTGCTTTTCAGATGGGGATCCCTCAAGTGTCTAAGTGCTCAAGGCAGTTCCTGGTAGTGCCACAGGTACATATGTGGTTTTAAAAGTTCCTGCCTTTCCACGTGTGCCTAGATTGACAGTGGCATATCAACAGTGGCCAGAGAGTTGAGAAGGAAAAGGAGCTCACCAGAGGAGAGTGTGATAGGGAATTGTCCACATAACAGGTGTTGTTGGAGAGGTCAAGTGCCACAAGTATGAAAAGTTCCCAACATGGCCACTTAGAGGCTGTTGACAGTTGTAAACACAGCGTTCCATGTGTGTGCATGTTCGTGGTAAGCCAGAGAGCAATGTATCATTTTCAATTGTTCTTGCACCTTATTCATTGAATTGAAGTCTCTCAGTCAAACCCAGAACTGGCCATATGGCTAGTCTTGCTAGCAAGCTTGCTCTGGGAATCCCTGTCCCCACCTTCCCAAAACTGCAATTACAGGCAGGCTACCGTGCCCTCCTGACATTCACTTGGGTTCTGGGAATCCAAACTCTGGTCCTCACACTTGAACATCAAGTGCTTAGCCACAGAGCCATCTCCCCAGCAGCATTTCTCATTTTTATAAAAGAGAAACACAATATTTATTTTAGCTTCTTGACTTAACTTTAAATTTAGACATAGCAAACTCTACTATTGTTAGCAAAGTGTTAAGAAAATCTGTATTTAGAGGCTCAAGCAGTTTGGGAAAACGGATTCCACCAGTGTGTGCTCTCTAGGTTGATGAAAAACGCAGGTAGTGAACATCTTGTGGGCTCACTGGCGAATAGAAGTGTGACGTTTGTAGCCATACTTCAGTCTAGGATTAGCAGAAAGCCTGGTGCTCACTCTTTTCTCAACGGATTCCCTCTGAATGGGAGAGAGGAGGTGTTGGAAAGCCTTGAGAGGGGAGAGGAGGCTCTTGGGTATATTTGAAGCAGCAGACTTTCTGCTTGGCATCTCCTGCTCCCAACATTTTGAATTCCCTTTGATGGCAGGCATGGCGCTCCACTCACTTTCACTGTCGTCACCAGCTTTCACTGGGTCACTGATTTCCACACTTCTCATCATTTGCTGACCACCCTGTCTACTATCCTCTTCTAGATGCTGATTTTCACACAGCTCATTGGCTACAGCCTGTGTTGGTGGCAGCCTCTTCCCTCAGAAGCCCATCTCCAATCTCTTCCATGTCCTTAAACATCTGGGAGACACTTAGACCTTCTCGTGGGTATGTTCTTGTAGCTGAGCTCTTAGCCCCAGTGACACAGCTTCCTGCTTTATGTTTTTTTTTCATAGAGCCAAAGAACATTTGAACATGGGGTGGGGGGAGTGTGTCTTACTGGGTTGGGGAATAACCAGGTGATGATCCTTCAGCATCTAATCATGCAACTAGCTCACTCTATGGCTTAGTTGTCCACCCCCGTCCATGTTATCATTCATATGGTGAAGTTCCAATTCGCAATGTCACTCTCTCTGGAGATAGCATTTTTTAGGTGGTAATTAATGTTAAGTGATGTGAAATGAGGCACTAATTGTATGGGCCCCTAACTCTATAGAACTCCTATACTCATGCTTTAAGATGAAGATGTTCTCTCTCATCTCTCATCTCTCATCTCCATCTCTCATCTCTCTTTCTCCCCTGCCCCCCTCTCTCCTTGTCTTCTGCAAGCCAGAAGAGAGCCCTCACCAGAAACCAATCTCCAGAATTGTGAGAAAATAATTTCTCTCACTTAAGTCATTTGGTCTGTGGTGTTTGGTTATAGCAGCCCAGGCTGAGTGAGACATTCATTTGCCAAACTCTTTCATTCACAGTGGACTCTACTGACAGCCTTTTTTTTTTTTTTTTTTTTTTTTTTTTTTTTTTTTTTTTTTGAGGAACTCTTATGGACTATTAGTTTAAGATGTGTTACATCTGTTTATGCTGTGGAATGTTTGCTTAATGATGCAAAGATATATTGCATTCTTTTATGTTGCATTTGTTTAACTCTGTAAGGCTGTATTACTTTGCCTGCTTAAAACACCTGATTAGTCTAATAAAGAGCTGAACAGCCAATAGCTAGACAGGAAAGAAATAGGCAGGGCTGTCTGTAACAAGAATCTTAAAGGGTCTTATTAATAAAAACAAACCCAGAGCCAGGTATTGGGGTGAACGCTGAATGATCAGAGAAACAGAACAAGCCACAGCCACCTCGCCTTGCCAGTTCCTCAGCCGATCCTGTTTCCTCAGACTGGAAGCCTCTCTCTGAGTCCTCATCCAAATGGATCTCAGCTAGACTGCTGCTAAAAGCCTAAAAGCTTAACCAGGCTCTAGTTCTTGGTTTTCACACCTTATATACCTTTTTGCTTCCTGCTATCACTTCCTGGGATTAAAGGCGTGTGTCACCATGCCTGGCTGTTTCCAGTGTGGCTTTGAACTCAGAGATCCAGATGGATCTCTGCCTCCCAAGTGATAGGATTAAAGGTGTGTGTGCCATCATTTTCTGTCCTCTATGTCTATCTAGTGCTGTTCTGTTCTCTGACCCCAGATAATTTTATTAAGGTGCACAATATATTGGGGGACACAATATCACCACTGCTCTTAGACAGAGAGAATAAATAGGAGGAGAAATCTAGGGGAGAGAGTGAAGGGGGAGCAGTGAGAAAAGGAAAAGGAAAGGAGGATGCCAGGGACCAGCCACCTAGCCAGCCATGGAGTAAGAAGGAAAGGAAGATATATAGAATAAAGAAAGGTAGAAAGCCCAGAGGCAACATGTAATTAAAGAGAAACAGGGTAATTTAAGTTAGAAAAACTAGCTAGAAACAAGCCAAGCTAGGGCCAGAATAAGTCTACGTATATTTATTTGGGAGCTGGGTGGTGGGCTCCCAAAGGGTTAAAAAAAAACAAAAAACCCACAACTACATAACTCCTCAGTCCGTCACCCAGAGGTATCTATTCTATTCCAGTTGTGAATTGAGTTCAGCACCTCTTCTATAGGACTCATGTATCTCTTGCATGTCAAGGAATGGGACTGGGGACCAGTGTTATTGTTCCCACACTCTTCCAGTAAATGAGACATATGTATTATCTCAAATCACATGATGGAATGGAGGGGAGCACTCAGGTGTACAGGATCACATGGTCTTGTAGAACATCCAGTTGATCTTACATGGTTGAATACAAAGAAAACTTTAAACTAGGTCATATGAGCACAAAAGTATACTTACTGGGTTTCTGTGAACAAGAATGACAGCATTAGGAATGTTTAGATTCTTCTAGAAGGAATGAGGCTGCTTCATTCTTGCCTCTTAAGGCAGCTTCATTTAGGACTCCACACCAAAGCAACACAAATATCTCTATCTTTTCACATCTGCTGTTGTTTTATTATGGGCTTTCCATCTGCCCTGCTCTGAAGCAGGAGGGGAAAGAGAGAGCAGAGGGAAATCGTGAGCTCTTTCAAAGGATGGAACCAGATATTAAATCCATAAACAGAATGGATTGAAGTGGAAAGAGTGAATCAGAGATGATGAAAGCATGAGCTTCACACTGGTGGAGGACCACCTTACAGGGACTGACTAAATGTTCCAGTTCTATGTGTGGCTGCCCCTCCATGATGCCTTCAGATCCAATCAGCATGATTGGATTCTTGAACTGCCTGGGCCCCGCTGCTCTCTGTTGGCCCCCTCCCACTGTTTGCTCCCATCTAGCCCTTAGAGTCATTTATACAATGCAAGCTGATGACCCGTGGTGAGATTTCCCTTTCCTCTGGTGATAATGATCCTGTCACTCCAGGTTCCTGTTTCAGTGGAGCGTGAAGAGAGTTAGGCTGATGGATTGAGATTGAGCTGCAGTGAAATAGGATTTCACTCAAGGGTCCATTAGCTTTTCAGCATAATGTCTCAGTGAGAATGAAAACTGAGACTTTCTTGAGGACCCTGCCTGCTCAGGGTAAGCTTGCAAACCTGAATTTCCTGGGTCAGATATATTGTATTTGGCCCCCACTAGGTTTGAAATATCTAAAAATGGATTTTCCTTGCTTTTCTTTAGACCTAAAGAACCCTGGATCCATATCTGTTCCTGGGACAATGTACTGGTGTTGAGTAGCCCTAGCCCTTTGGTGAGTACAGGGGCACTAGAGAGGAGATTGCCATAGTTTCACCACTGCCCATGTTCATGTTGGCTACCACAAACACTTGAATTTGTGTGCTTTGATCTATCAACAGATACAAAGAAAGCAGCAGCTACTGAGTGCATTCTATACTCGAACCACTGTGCCTTGTAATTTGCACAGATTATCTCTAGTTTTCTTAAGAATCCAGTGATATTTAAGCTCCATGACTACAAGGACCACGCCTGCATCTCTTGCCACTGTGAGAAGACACTATGCCTGACATAACTATAGCTACAAGGCAGGAGCTCAGAAGCATTTATTGAATAAATGCATGTATGAATGAATAAATAATCAAAGAAGACATTTTCATAAATAAGAAAGCCAAGACCCAAAGTAATTAAAGAAATTGATCCGAATTCATACAGCTGATGGGGCAGTGGGGAACAGCTAGGATTCAAATACAACAGCATGGAGGAGAAGGGAAGAGGCCTTGGACCACTTCAGGGCTAACTATACAGAAAGCACCTGGTAAGTACTTGCTGAATTGATTGACAGCGAGGCTCAGCATGTTCTCATTAGTACAAGCATCAAGGAGATTGCAAGAAGAGTTTTTTTCTCAGTTTATGAAATCTACTGAAAGTTGCTGGTGTTGGGTACCTAGAACTTTGGGATTCTACAATATGAAGGCCCTGGAGAGAAGGTTATGTTTTACATGCAACAGGATGAATGTAATGTTTCTGTCTATAATCAACTTGGGCTCTATATATGAAGTCTGAGGCTTCCTTCATTAAAGGGTGATATTTCCTACTGCCACAGTGCACAGAGATGTGTCAGAAAGCTTCTTTGGACAACCCACCAAGAAGACTCAAGGCTGGCTTAAAAGCATGGCTTTTCAAAGAGAAGGGGTTAGTCTGGCTGTAGGAAAGAGGGTAAAGGTGATTTAATTTCCAACTCTCTGCTGATGAGTCTCAAGTTGATGAATCATTTTGATGTTTTGCAGACAAATCTCAGAATTCAGAAAACTGTTGCATATTTCTTAGAGCTCTCTGTCTACTGTGACCCTCAAACTAACACATCAAAAATTGAACGTATTTTGTGTGCGTGCATGTGTGTGGGTGTGCATGTGTGTTGGGGGTGTTGGTATGGAATTCAGGGCCTCCCTCAGCTAAGCACATACTCTAACACTGAGCTACATCTCTAGCCTAATATGCCATACTTTTGTTCTTGAACCGGCTTTTCTTAACATTTTTTTCTTTTCTTTTCTTTTTTCTTTTTTTTTTTTTTTTAAAGATTTATTTATTTATTATGTATACAGCATGTATGACTGCAGGCCAGAAGAGGGCACCAGATCTCGTTACAGTTGGTTGTGAGCCACCATGTGGTTGCTGGGAATTGAACTCAGGACCTCTGGAAGAGCAGTCAGTGCTCTTTACCTCTGAGCCATCTTTCCAGCCCCATTTTTTTTCCTTATCAGTGGCTATTTAGTCTTTCATTTCATAAGCTCTGAATTTGGGGATTTTCTATTATTTTCTCTTTATAACCTATATGTGCAAGCTCTTTTCCATTAAATATCTCATCATATTCCTTTTCTGCCCATTTCCACTTAACACAAACAAGCCTTTATCATTATAGACACGGCTGGGCTCTCTTTTTCTAGACTCTTCTTTTTGTTTAAATCTCAGTGCTGTCAGATTCCTCTAAAATATCATGCCCCATCCCACGTTCCAAATCTGTATTATCTTCTCATGGTTTGGCATAGCATTTCCCAATATGTGCTACGCAACACCTTAGTTCCGTGGGAAAAGAATAGGTGTTAAGTAAAAAACAGGTTCTGGGATCAAACACTAATGTTGAGAAAGCTATGAGTCACTTCTTTCCTGTGGGGTGATTCATAGCTTTGATATGTTAATATGCCTCATTACACAGCGTTCCCCAGGATTTGTGTTTTCACAGAGGCCTTTTTGGTGGAGAATTTCATTGGCCTAGATCCTCAAGAAAAGCATTTGGGAAATACTGGTCCACAAATTCGAGTCCATATTCCCTGTGATGATTAATTTTTTGTGTCAAATTGACTGGGCTATGGAATGCTTAAGTATTTGGTCTATCATTATTTGGGGTGTATCTATGAGTGTGTTTCTAGATAATATTAGCATTTAAATTGGTAGACTTAGTAAAGTATATCCTTCTACCTAAATTGAACAAAGAAGACTAACAGGCAACTTCACCTGCCTGGCTACCTTTGGACAGGGATCCGTTTTTTCTCTTTGTACACCCGTTCCTCCTGGGCCGCCAACTCATCTTACAGATCTTTGACTGTTTATTACGATTGCCTGTGTTTTGTGCAGGTGTGTGTGCTGCAGCATGCATGTGGAGGCTTGAAGACAGCTTTGTGGAGTAGGTTCTCTCCTCCTACCTGTACGTGGATTCCAGAGATTGTTCTCAGGTCATCATGCATGGCAAACACCTGCTGGGCCATCTCCCTGGCCTCCACCGTGCAGATCTTGAGCCTCTGTGACCATGCAAGCTAATTCCTACTACATATGTATTTATACACATGGACAGTCTCTGAATTATGAGAATTAGGCTTGTAACTGTTTGACATTAAGATGGGTTTATTTATCAGGATGTAACTCCCATCGTGCTCTATGGAAGGCAACTGGAAAAGAGCGGTTACAAGAGTAAGTCTCTGGCTGATGTAGCTCAGGAGTAGAGCACTTGACTAGCATGTGGGAGGCCTTGAGTTAGAGCCACAGCTTTGGGTGTGTGGGTGTGGGCCTGGGATGGAGTGTGGGTAGGGGTATGGCCTAGCCTTCCAATTGCCCAGTACTTTCCCCTCCGAGATATCCCTAGCTCTCTTTGCCTCCCTCCCCATGTTTCAAGGTCCAAGTGAAGTCCCATGGCTGCAGCTTAGAGTCTTTTGCAGAGCACTTAAGTTCTTGAAGGGAGAGCTGCACCCAGGGTATGTAAATCAGAATTTCTGTGGTTCGGGGCTCTGGCATTGGTAGTCTGTTAAGGTCTCCAGGTGTTTCCAGTGCATAAAATAGTTTAGAACCAATCCAGGTTGTCCTGATGCCTGGTCCTGTCATCTGCATCAGTAGATTTGGGGTGGGGCCAAAGAATTTGCATTTCTAACAAGTTCTCAGGTGCTGCTGGTGCTTAGGGTCTTGGGGTCTCATCTTGAGAAGCTCTGTCCAGGAGGATCAGAGCAGAACCCAGGTCCCTGATTCGAACTCCTTGGACTGAGGAAAACCTGGCAGAATGCACATTGAAGGATTAGCAGAAAGCATTGCTTTGCATAAGCGGCTATCAGTTGGTGGCCC